TTTCTTTTTTTAGTTGTCCCAAAAACTTTGTCACTTTCCCTTTTAATCAATTAATTTGTGGTTCCTGTTATTTCTCTCTCCTCTGCACAAACCTCTACCACATAATTTTTACTTTATTATTCTACGTGTCGGTCAAACTTGGCAATCCTTTTAGGGACGGAGGGAGTATAACAATAAGTCACATAAAAAACAGACATCTAATAGACCATATTAATTCACACCAAATCAAACCCGAAATTTTAATTCAATTAAAAACGTTCTTATTAATGAGTAAACTGTAAGATCTAACAATTAAGAAATATAGAATTTTTTATTATTATTGGGTTCATAACAATTATGTTTACTTGAGATTCTTATGTAGAAGACCATTTAACTTTTTTTTCATACATGTTTTTCTTTGTTTCACAAATGGAATATATTTCACATATATTTTCATGATTCAGAAGATTCCACCTATTTAACCAGAATTCAATCAATTTCAGCAAAATAAGTTAATTCTATTTACTAAAGTATTATCAAACAGACTCCATATTAGACTAAGTTTATTTTTCTTTTAAATCACATTATATGTGATCTGATAGAAATTAAATTTCAAATTAGCTAAATTACATACTGCCCGTGCATCGCACGGGCTTGAAAGATTTGAGAGGCATTCAAGAAAGATTTGAGAGATTTGGAGGTCACCGGGAGGTTCACAATGAAGATTTGAAGGTAAACCGAGCTCTAGGATTGGTTATGAGATCAAAAGAAGATGAATAAAGCTTGAAAACGGCATGCAGGATGACCTTCTGTCAATCGTTCAAGCATATCTCTTTGTAGAAGCATCCAAAAAATACGATTCAAATTCCACATGAAATCCAACTTCAATAGCTACAAATCATATGAATACATCATTCCGAGAATCTGAGAGGAAGAAGGTGAAAACAGACGATGAAGTCAGATGATCCCTGCTGCGATTTCAGAATGACACCTTTCACCGTTTTGATCATATCTCTTGATTGGATGATTAAAATCACATTTGGCAAATTGGGGTGGATAGAGGACTTCATTATCTACAACTTTCATGAAGGGAGTATTGTCAAATTCGGAAGTTTGACGCACGCCGTGCGTAGAGGAACGCACGACCGTGCGTCCGAGGCGAGAAAGCAAGGCAGCTACTGCCAGCCACGCACGGCTGTGCGTGGCTAATTTTTGCGCGATACATGCTCCGGACGCACCGGGTGACGCACGCCGTGCGTTGTCCCCGTGCGTTGCCCCTGGGATCCTAATTTCGCCCGAATTGCTCCGTTTTCCTATTTAAACAGCCTGTAAACCCCGTTTTCAAGGGGGAGCTTAGAGAGAGTGCTTAACACGAATTTTAGAGGGCTTTTCAGCCTTGTTCATCAATCTTTTGGTATTCTTTGTAAGTTCCACCTTTTTAATTAATGACAATTAATTCTTTTTATTCCAATTTTATTGATTCTTCAATTATGAATTGTGAGTGGTTTTAATTAGGGATTTGGGATTGATGAAGGGGTTGATCATTATGTATGGCTAGATTCTTGTCGGTTTAATTGCATGAATGCCGTTTAATTTGTGTTTGAATAATGTAATTGATATCTTTTGTAACCTAGAATCGCGACTAGAATTACAATTAAGAAGAGAAAATCGAAGAGAGGGTCGAGTATTTGGGGGAGAAGTAGCATACCAGAAACAACTCTTTGGGATTCTTTGGATAATCAGGTTATTAATGTAATTCCTTTTCTTTTAGATAGGAATGAGTCTTCGAAAGATTGGTTGTTGACTTCGAAAGATATGAATGAGTCTTCCAAAGATATGTCCTTCCGGATATGCACTTGTATTTCATGGTTATGACTTCTCATTTTGAGAAAGAATGGTTGTTGACTTTGTGTTTGCTTTTGATGCAATTGATGACTAAAGCTACTTGTCGGCAGATTCTCATGTGGAAATATAATGTTTATTATATGAACACTTAGGATTTTAAATTGCCAAAAAAGTATGTAATTCTAAATAGAGATTTAACCAAGACATTCATCTTCTTCATGCAACTGTTTCGTTTGTGTAATATATAAGTATATTGCCTATACTCTGTCCACTATTGACATAAATCCCAGTTGAATGTTCCTTGATATTGTTACTGTAATGATCTTTTTAAAAGATGATAGCAGGTGACTTATGACTTTTATTAATAGGAGACCTGCAGGAATGGAGTTTGTTGGGTTAATGGCCCAATTAGAGGATCGGCCCGTTACCCTCATGTTGGACGGACGTCTTGACCCATAAGGTGACGTACCTCAATGAGCGTCTAATCAGGGATGAGAATGTGTTGCTGCACCAAAGCCCAAGGGTGAGGCGACGAACGTCGTCACCCATGGGCCACAACTACGTTAAGTCCATTACGAACTATGCAACAAATTCTACCAAGGGCCGGGACACGAACGGCCCACACCCTTTGCAGTATCACCGGGAGCAGGCCCCATGCCCGACTGGACGTCCGTCTCCACAGATTAGGCGGGAAACCCAGATTCGGGTGGGAATCGCATTTAATGCTGGGGATTTGGTGGTTGGAACATCAGCCATTCACAACCCTTCACATCAGCACGGCCAACTGCCCATTGGTGGTATAAATAGTAGTACTTAGTTCATTGTAAGGGGTTGACAACTTATTATCCTTATCACTCTAGCATATTACTCGTAGCTCTTCTATTGCAGTTAGGGCTGGGCACGGGCCGGGTCGGGGCGGGTAATGCAAAATAAAATGGAACTGCCGGTTCCATTGTACGGTTCGGTCCGGTCCGGGTATTACAATTTTCAAAATAGGAACCGGAAATTATCTGGCCCGTTTGAAACGGGTCGGTCCGGTCCGGGTTTTATGGTTTCTATTCTCATGTCTTGAAATTAGTAAAAACTCACGAAGTTCCAAAAATCAATAAATTATAATATAGGACATTAGCAAGTTTCAAAATAACAACATAGTGGTGCATATATAACACAAGCGAAAAGTCAAATACTCCATATTTTCTTGTATATAAGTTTCAAACAATTAAAGAAATTCCAAAAATATGCAACATAGCCGAAATACATATTTTATAACATTTGTATTTAAACATGTTGTCTAACATCACATATTAAAGTGATTGCTTTTTTTATATTAAATTTTCAGTATTAGCCAAAGTTGACACATACATGGTGGGTGGTAAACACAATTTATATATTTTAATAACAATATAATAAAAAATATAACAAAATCATCTTTAACAAATAATTAAATTCCATAGAAAGGAATAATTCAATAACAATAAAAAGTAATAAGATATTTATGAAACATTTAATCAATAATTTGAAAACAAAAGGATGTTACTGCAATTCAATTTAAAATACTACTTCTAGCACATGAAACAAAACTATTTCAAAACCGATTATCACAAAACTATTAATAAATTAATATACAATATATATAACGGGCCGGGCCGGGTACCCGTTATTTTTTAATTTTGGAACCGGTCCAGTTCCTTAAAAAAAATTACCCGACCCTACCCGGACCGTTTTATGGAAACAAAAAATGGAACCGGCCCGTTTTGGACCCGAACCACCATTACCCGAACCGGACCGCGGTTCCAAGACCCGTTTGCCCACCCCTAATTGCAGTATAAGGCAAACGACCTTCGGGCTTAGCAAGTGTATTTATCGGGGCATTATTTATCATTAATAATATCCGATCCTTTACTTGTTCATTATTCTCTTAGCCCATCTTATTTGCTTGTTGGGTCAATTAATCATTCACACATAAAACAATCCACTCGAAATCCTTGGGCTTACCGCTTACGTGTTGGACCCGAGAGTTGAAGGAATAAACTTCAACAGAGTTGTTTCATCTAAACTATCATTATGGTGGGCATTTAAACAAAGCACCCCAAGCCCAATATGTACGGGGGAAGGAAACCCTCGCAATGAATATACTTCCTGATAAATTGGATTTTTGGAGGGTCTTGAGTTTGCCCAAAGAGATGGGAATTGATGATGAAATTGAGGAGTCAAAGTAAAAAAAGTAAACATAACAAAGTCATAGTTAAAAGTAAAAGAATTCGAAAAACACAATGTTTGCACTTTTTTTTGAAAACTTTTAAACTAATTTAAATAAATTAATTGGGCTTATTTAGTGGGCTTTTAAGGGTCTCAACTAGGGGTGGGCACAAAAAACCGTAACCGACTAACCAATTTAAAAAACCGAAAAACCGATGTATTTTCCGGTTAACCGTACCGGATTGTTTAAAAACTCACGGTACGGTTAACCAACCGCAAAGAAAAACGGTAATGGTACGGTTATGGTTAAAATTATATTAATACCGGTTAACCACTAAGTGAAACCGGTACATGTTTTAATTTGTAACGTGTGCCCAGGCGCCCAGCTGCGAGTGCTTCACCCACTGGAGCGGCAAGAATGAAAATGAGATTGTGCTCAAACTTCCCAATTTTTTCCCAAACAAATATAAGGGAAATATATTATAATATTACAATATTATAATACAGTGTTGCTCCGTATTATTATTACTACGTACTTAGCTGAGTTAGCTCCGCATTATTATCTAGCTAGTTGCCTGGGAAGCTCTACGTTTAAAAAATTAATCTGTCAAAAAAAGGTACGTATTATTATTATGTAGCTATCTAGCTCTACGTTTAAAAAATTGTACTCCGTATGTTCAAAGTTTAAAACAACAAGAATATTGATGAATTTATCTTTCCTTTTCATGGTTTATGGTTTATTGGTTAACCGTTACATGGTTAACCGAAATATTGGTTAACCGACTCCCGGTTAACCAATGTAACGGTACGGGTAACGGTATATAAAATTGCATAACCAATATCATGGTTAACCGAAAATTGATTAACCCAAATGCGGTTAACCAACCACACCAAATTAATTAAGCATTGTCAGACAATGCTTAGAAATCAAACCCCTCCCCACCCGTTTTTGAGGTTTTGTTTTTCTTTTTGGAATGGTTTGCTGTTTATTTTGGAACCAGCGACGACTGACAGCACCTGCCTTTTGGCTCTTTCGTCCTCCCCACCTCTGAACACCCTCGACCTCTATCTTGTCTCTTCTCTCGTCTCTCTCCCTCGTACGCATCATGGACTCCCTGTCTGTATATGTCCACACTCTTTGAGCATCTTTTTTTCTACAGAGAGAGATTCAAACTAGAGGGAGGGGTTGGAAATTCAAATTCACATCTTTCCCTAATCTGCTTAGCCCAGACATTTATCCAGTCGCTTTATGTTGATCTGTTGAGGTAAGTTTCAGACCTTTTTTGTTCTCTGATTGTCTTCTCCTCAGATTTTTCGCTTCTCTGATGAAGCAACTACTGTATTTGTGTAAAATGTTAGATGATTCATTGTTATTCAGTGAATGCTGTGTCGGTTAATTCAAGTGGCGTGTTTTCACGATTTGGGTTCTTGGAATGAGCCAATATGGCATCTGAGATAAGCCAATTGAAAAGATCTTGGCTTCAGTATAATAAGAAAGATGGTTTCTTGACTTACCCACCTCCAGTTCCCACCTTTTCTGGAACTTTCCAGACCCAAACAAACCCTTCCCCTTCAACACCATCCGGGAACAACAAGACCAGTCCAGCAGTCTTGTTCGTCATAGTAATATTGGCTGTCCTCTTTTTCATATCCGGTCTCCTCCACTTGCTAGTTAGATTCCTACTCAAGAATCCTTCTTCTTCAAGAGCCGAGTTTGATCCACATCCAGACATTTCAGGGAGTCCATCTGATGCCTTACAAAGACAATTACAACAGCTCTTCCATCTACATGACTCAGGTCTGGATCAAGCCTTCATTGATGCTCTTCCTGTTTTCATGTACAAACAGGTTGTAGGTCCTAAAGAGCCATTCGATTGTGCAGTTTGTCTTAGTGAATTTCTGGAGAATGATAAACTCAGGTTGCTCCCAACATGTGGACATGCTTTCCATATCAATTGCATTGACACATGGCTATTATCCAACTCAACTTGTCCTCTCTGCAGAGGAACCCTTTTTGGTGCTGGGTTTTCCATTGATAATCCCATGTTTGACTATGATGGAGTGGGGGATGATGATGATGGGGACAATGGGATTTCTGTTTCTCAGAAAAGAATCGATTTGAATGAGATTGTAGTAGAAAAGGAAGGAACTTTTCCTGTTAGACTTGGTAAATTCAGCAAGTTGAATAGTGATCTGACTATGAAATGGGAAGGAGAGACTAGTAGTAGTAATTTAGATGCACGAAGATGTTATTCAATGGGATCATATCAATATGTAGTTGGCGATACTAATCTAAGAGTGGCCTTGACAAGTCAAAGAAACGTGAAATCAAGAAGAGACGCTGAAAGGGATGGGAGAAGGATAGGTATTGGTGCAAAAACTGATAGCTACTCAATGTCGAAGATTTGGTTGTGGTGAGAGAAAAGGAGTTTTGCAAGTTCTTCAGAGTCCACTGGGTAAGAAGATCGTTCTCCTTTTGATAGGGCCTCCAAATGGATGCCAGACAAGAAGGGAAGTAAAATTGTCTTTGCCTTTTGAAATTCTTTCTAGGCTAAAAAATGGTAAGTTGGCAACCTCTCATATGACATGGTAGATCTGAAGTTGGGCCCAAATTCTTTTTATTTTTTGAAGATTGGATACAATCAAATTGAGAAATCTAGAATCCTTGACTCTTGAACTCCAGCATGATTTATAATCCATGTCCTGATTATTAAGAAATATTTATGTGATTATATCTTGACACACTGCTCTTACAAGAAGCTGCATTTACTAACAACGTTTTCACATATAGCTTCTTGAAGCAATAACACTAGTGGCCATATTTCTCACCTTGTCTTTGCTTATTTTTTGGTCTCACTCTTTTGCCTGGTATCGTCATCTTATTTAGAGTGTCTATATAATTTTGGTCTGAAATGTCTAGCTATCCCAAAAGTAACAAATAGAAAAATACAAACAAATATATAAAATTTAGACTAGTTCTTTTGTAAAACTGACCTTCTAAGACGAAATCTAGTGTATTAGAGCATAAACAATAGAGTCAAATAAGCTCTCCAACTATTCATAATTATGCACCTCGGCCCTTGAATAGGAAGACCTTACCGATACACCATCAATTCATTAAAATAAAGCAATCAAGCCTTTTTACCTCCTAGTGCTGGTAAGATGGTAACTTTCTTGTGTGATGTTATTGACTCTCATCCATTAAAAAAAGGCTTGATTGTTTTATTTCAATAGACCAAGTTGTGTTTTTGTAAGGTACTCCCGTATTACGGTTCAGGTCCTGGTTGTAGAAAATCAACAATTAGTTTGAACATGGTAATTTTTTTTTCATTCTTGGATTACGACAATCTTGAAATGGCCTTTAAATCCATTTGCCTAAAACATGGATGAAGGCTAGTATTTTCCTCTGCAATTTAAGGTAGAGTTTTTATTTTATTTTCCCAGCCATTGGTAAAGTAAGTGAAATATGTGTGTCCCTCTTCCCTCTTCCTTTCTTTGATTGGTTTGCACCTGGTTGCTGCCATCATCACCATGGGTCTTTGCATAGTTCGATATAGAATGCACTGTTTGGGATGACTGCAAAAAATCTAAGTAAGCACTTCTTAGGAAATCATCATATTTTGTGACCTGGAGTTGACAGAACTACTATTAAATCTTTGAAGGATAAAAGTGTTGGTTTGTCAATTCTTAAAAAATCATCATCTGTTAATGGGCACGCTCTTCTAAGTTCTAATTAGAATTGAGCTCTGTATGGTCAAGCTGCATGCTAGTATGATATTATGCAATTTTTCTTAACCAGAGTTGGATGGATTCAATTCTGGATAGACTTACTGATAGTGAGCATGGCTCTATAGTTCATGATTGATGATGATTTATGAAGACAAATTAAGAAATAAAAGAATAAGAACATGGCGCAAAACTTTGGTTTGTTTCTTATTTGATTTGATGTTTCTATTTTAGATTTCCACATGGTTTGATGTGTACACCATGGTATAAATCACCTCTAACACCACCTACCCACAACTGCTCTTATTCCCACAATATTTATGGTCGATCTGAATATCATGGCACATATTAGCTGTGCGCACAGAGAAAACGTGCCTTTGAGGTTGTAAAAAAACGTGTCTTTGGGACGTTTGGGTCAATGAGTGAGTCACTTAATTAAGGGCATTTTGGGGTGATATCTTATCGTGACTTGTGGTGTCTTGGCGGTGGTGGAACAAATTTATTACTCCGTATAATAATACACTAGCAATTCACCCGTGCGATGCACAGTTTATAATTGTTTTTTCCAAATTTATCGCGGCAAGCAATCAAAAAGATGTAATTGTGTGACAACAAAATGCATGGTGTTGTAATAGTGATATAACTTCGAAACGAACACAAAGAATAATGATCCAAAAAATAAACGTAGGTCGGTACACATAATATTATAATTACATATGGAGCACCAAGTAATGGGGGTTTAATGCACCAAACCCCCATGTGATTTGGAAATTCGGCGCATTAGCCCCCTGTGATTTAAAAAATGCGTCAAACCCCCTTGTGTTTTAATTAATCATGCACAGAACCCCCTTTATGAATAAATTTAACGATTTGAAAATCACTTTTCCTAATATTTTGATTGTATATGCAAATAAATATGTCAAAATCTCTGAATCATACAAAAATGTTAATCATTTTTCTTTTATTTGACAATTGAATTTGTTCACATAAGAGATTTGACGCATGATTAATTAAAACACAGGGGGTTTGACGCATTTTTTAAATCACAGGGGGCTAATGCGCCGAATTTCCAAATCACAGAGGGGTTTGGTGCATTAAACCCCAAGTAATGGTGAAACGGAGGGAAATAAAATTAACAAAGACAATAACAGTACATAAATGTATATAATGCAATGCTACACATTGTTGAACACTTTTTGAACACAAAATTCTAAGTCTTGTCTGTGGTCCCTTCATATTCTTCACAAATTAAAATTTTCAATCCACGACGATTGGTAACCCTTAACACCGCAACATGCAATTGTCCATGATTGAATACAGGTTTTTTCAACAACAATCCTACGCAAGACAAAGATTGGTCTTGACTTTTATTTATAGTCATAGCATAGGAAGTCATAATAGGATACTGTCGTCTCTGAAACCTGAATGATAAGTTAGCATCAGAGGGGGTCACGGACAATCTTGGAATTAGCACCTTTAGCCCGACACGCACACCGGTTAAAATCTTCCCCTCTAGCATTGACGTGTAATATTAACTTATACTATGCACGGTTGAAAAAGAAATCCCAAATTCTTTTTAAAGATGTCAAAAAAAAGTTAAACGTTTTATTTTAACCTCAAAAGCACAAAAACCATTATGATGGATAGTCTACCCGGGGGGTATCTAATCCGAGGGGTTATTGCGGAAATAACTAGAGAGAAGTCAGAGCAAATAGGAGGAGAGAGAGTCGATTTTATTAAATGAACTCAGCGTGTGTTGGGATGTAGATTGTGTCATTACAAGGAGAAATAGGCTGCTATTTATAGCAGCAATAAATGCGATGAGGGGACACGTGTCAGTAATCCAACGGCCGAAGGGTCACATCAGCCTAGTGGTGCTGGCAGTGGTACGTCAACCGCATTGAATGCGGTTGGCGGATGTGACGTGGCATTAAATGCGGTGGTTGGCTGTCTCTAAAAGGAATCTTCGATGATTGAGCTTGTGCAGCCGAAGGCTCCTCGTGTAGCCGAGGGCTCCCTTTGTAGTCGAGGGCTGATTGTGTAGCCGAGGGCTTGGTTCAGCCGAAGGCTTATTGTGTAGCCGAGGGCTTGGTTCAGCCGAAGGCTTATTGTGTAGCCGAGGGCTTGGTTCAGCCGAAGGCTCATGTCTTCGCCCGTTTTTCTCCCAGCAGCTTCTTATGCCAGAGAAGGCTATCCTGTGAGTTTTGGAGCCTTCGGCCAACGAGGCCGAAGGCACCCCAGTGTGTATTCTGGGCTACTTTGAGGCTTGGGCCGTCGTATTTGGGCCTGAGTTGTTTCTTGGGCTCAATGGACTTGTGTAGGAGAAGTAGGAGTCTATGGGCCGGGGGTTCCTGGGCCATATACTCCATCAGGAGTCCCTCACTCCTTTTGCCGAAAGGTACTTGAGGGAAAAGGAGTAGATGTGTTGCTTCTTCCGGAGGCTTCACCATTTCGCTGGGTGCTTTTGCTGGAGAACTTGTTTTATGCTGATTGCCGAAGGCTTCCCTCAGTCCCTCACATGTCGAGGGTTTTCTGAGGGAAGGTACTCGTAACCTTCGCATGTTCGCCGGGGGCACCCCCTCAGTCCCTCACACGTCGAGGGTTTTCTGAGGAAAGCATAGATGTATTGCTTGCATGTGTTGCGATGAGGGCTGCTTCATTTCCGCAAGTGACTTGGGGAAAACTTGTGATATCCTGCCTCTGCCGAAGGGGTCCCACTTTGATGTTTGTCCGGAGGCTACACGCGTCAATTGTAAATTGTTTGTTTCTAAGGAAAATTTTTTTTTTTGTTGTATATGATCCCCGAGGGGTGTATCCCAGTCCCCCACTCCTTTAGGTCGAAGGCTAGTTCGGGCCGAAGGAGTTATGATGTGATGATGCCATCCCGAGGGGTAATAATGTCGACATGCCGGGGGCCTACGCTGCCGCGGACTCGAAGGCGCTTGGTGAGATTTGCTGGCAGGGTGCTGTGGTGAGCAATAGCCGGAGGCTATTGTTCGAGGGCACTCCAGTGCTTCTGAAATATAGCCGTTGCAATATAGCCGTTGGAGGAGGGGTTGACGTGGCGTCTCCTCACTGGCTGAAGGGAGCGGCTGTCCTCCATTGGTTGAACCGGCGGCCCGTAATGATGGGCTTTCGAGTTGAGGCCCAGTTCTCGAGGCCCACTGCCTATAAATACCCTGAGCCTGAGCTCATTTGTTCTTGCGCGTTTTAGAATTGAAGCGAAGCTCTGCCGAAATTTTTAGAGAGAGAAAGTTTCACCCTCGATCCAAACCGAATTCTGAGGTCAGTACTTCCCCAGCCTTCCGACTTTCTTAGCATACTTTGCTAGTTTCTCAGGTTTAGTTGTAGTGACTTTTAGGGGCCTTCGGTTAAAACGTTTAGATAGTTCCCCTTCTCCTCCGACAAGATGTCTTCCGGCAGTGACTCCCAAAACATATCGGAGGAGGCCCCGGCGCAATCGGAGAGCTACTCGAGTGTGGAATCATCCAGTGGGCAGTCATCGGCAGGAAACGACGCCGTGATAGCTGAAGAGGTCCAAGGCCAACTCCGCACTGAGCTAGAGGCGGAGGAATTCGAACAGGTGGTGGCAGACGAGGAGATGGCCCTCGCTCTCCAAGTCGCCGAAGAGGAAGAGGAGAAGGAGAGGCAGGCAGTCACGGTTGCGGTGCTGCCCTCCCGCGGCGCCGGTGGAGCGAGCAGTTCCCGGCCCTTAGATCCGGAACCTTTGAATGTTGCCCCCGCCAAAAAGAAGAAGAAGTCGAGGGCTGCTCCCAAGAAGAAGATGGCAGCCGTCGACGCCGGGCAGCCGGTGGGAATTCCCGAGGGTCACTCCTATTTGGACACCGCCGCCCTCGAAGTGAAAACGACAGCCTCGGGAGCGGAGTATCAAGCTCTTCAGGTCCTCGTGGGGCCGTCGGCACAAGTGGTGGAACCGGGGCCTGATGACCTCCTATCCCATCCTCCGGAGGGTTGCTTTTCCGTGCATATGCTGTCGGTGGAGTTGGGCCTTAGGTTCCCACTTCATCCCTTCGTCCTCGAGTACCTCAGGTACGTGAAGCTGGCCCCCTGCCAGCTCACCCCGAATAGCCACTA